GAGTATTTGTTAATTTTTTGTTTCCAAGATTACTTTGGATGTTCTACTTAATGTTTAATACACTTATGTGCATTATTTAATCTTTGATTAACATTCAATGATAACAAGAATGAAATAATACTTGGAAGTGTTATAAACATTAAGTAGAATGTGCTTTTTGTGTATCTCCTTTATATTGCAAGGATATAAAAAGTAGAGTTCAATCAAAAATTTTACCAAAACTGAAAACGTATTAGTTTCAAAACCATATAGCTTTTCTTCATAAATATTAATTTTAATATATATAATTATTGTTTCAATAATTAAATTATGATTTTATGAAGAAGTACTTATGTTCTTTGGCCAAAATTGACACAATCAAAATTTCAGTTTTCGATTTCAGCCGAAATTTATTGTTTTAATAAAATATGATATTTATGAAGAAAAAGTGTATGATATATGGACATATCTATACATATGGCCTTTAGAATTTCTATTTTTGGTTTTGGTTGAAATTGACATATAGCTGAGTGTTTCAGTTCAATTTCGCAAAAGTTTTGGTCGGACTTAATAAAACTTGAAAAATGTTATTTTTCTTTCTGTTTTTCTCTACTTATTTTATAAACTATATAATATGGTCTTTTGATTATTTAATAGAATATAGGTCAAGAATGACCCAATTAATCTTTTAAAGAATATGTTCTGAGGATTAGTAACTATTTCTAATAATATTTCAGAGTTGATCATGAACTCATTGAATCCATTCAATTTTTTGGAGAATCTATGGTGGAGGTTTATTAAACTCATTCAATTATATTCTTTATTACATATGCAAATTTGAAAAATTATTAAAATAAACTTAGTATTCACACATATATTCATACATATATATATTTTTTTTAATACAAATTATGTTATTTTGTTTCCTTAAAAATAATTAGTGCTTTCTAATTAACATAAATGAAACAAGTCTCACAAATATACAGCATTAGTAACTATGTTACAGATTTTAATGTTAGCTCCGAAAGATTAAAAATATTGTAATTTATAATCCTACAATAATTTGAATATTATAACATTATAATTTAAGAACAAGTGATTTTATATGTTATATTTTAAGATTAACAAAGTATTGATAATCATAATAAATCTTATGGTATCAAAAGCGTTAATTTATAGAAATATGTTTCTTGTGCAATATAAAATATTTATCATTTGCAGTTGATATAAAATCTCAAGATAATACAGATGTCACAGAAAACACAGATAAATTGGTTCCAGTAATGATGGAATGTGATCAAGAATCAAATAATGATACAACTGATTTTACTGCTGATATTGACTTAGATCAATTTGATGGACAAAAAGATGTAACAGATGAAGATGTGATGCATCATTTGGATGTGATAGAAAATATTGAATTAGACCCTGAAACCTTTTGTGTGGATCAATGTATGAAGGAAATTAATCAATCAGAATTATTTGCGAAAGAGTGTGAAGAACAGGTGGAAGATAAAGATGAAGTAACAGTTATTGAAGAAGAATTTATAGAGGTTAAATGGTATGAAAAGAAGGTACATTAATAAATCTCATTTTTTGCAATTAATATATATATATATAAACTAGGGATG